GGAAGAAACTCGCTGCCTGCTCTAAATATCATCAGTACAGATGATCTGGTAGTGGCATACTATGTTGTTATGTGCGAGTACAGTTAATACCTACCACACGGACTTACATAACAATTATGAGAGGTATATAAACTATTCTAACTCCCTATAGATCTGTATCCTTTGATCCTCGCAAACTATGCGACAATTAACATAATAAAATAATAATGTAAGAATATTATAATCAACCTACCTTGATGGGGGTCCTGTTGCGTCCCCGTCGGCCAGACACATAAGGCTTCCCACATCGCGCTGCAGCGGTGTTGAGTTTCAAGTCTCACACACACACACACAGGGCATTCGGTACTGGAGCGATTTCCAGCCACCAACGGCAACGCCTGTCGCAACCCTCTCCGTTGACGTGTTCGATGGCTTGTAAGTGACGATGCGTTGCGACCTGCACCGTCGTTTTGAGTGTCAGTGATAGTTGTCTTTCTGTGATATGTGCTGCCGCCACAAGTGTCGTGAATGTTTTTGGCCGCTGCTGTGACCAAACAAAGGCTGTTGGTTGTGACACCCTCGGTAACCCAAACTCCTCCTCACAACTTGATCCCCCCCCCCGCCCGGCGTGTGTGTGGTGTGCTATTCAGGTTCACAAGCAACACCGCCACGGCTGGCGTGTACGTTGTGGACAACACGGCGCCGACGCTTGATCTGAACGGTGCTGGTGCATCTGGCGTGGACAACAACCTGATTGTCACGTTTACGGAGGGGGCTGCAGCACCTGTTTTCGTTACGCCCGCTGCCACGTACACGGACGATGAGACGGCTGGCTCCACTGCGTCCATCATACAGGTATATTGTCTCACAGGCGGGGATGGTGTTTCTGTCGTGTTGTTGGCAATTGTCGCTCCTTGTTCTGCCCAAGCGATCGTGCGGAGACCCCCCAACATACGCACACACACACACACACACACACACACACACACACACACACACACACACACACACACACACACACACACACACACACACACACACACACACACACACACACACACACACACACACACGCATGTCATTTTGCACGAGAATGACCACCTTGCTTGCACCCCTGTAACGCACAACACACAACATGCACCACCGCATGACACTCAAGCAACGCTCACTACACGTGCACACCACACCACAACACAACACAGGTGGTCATCACGAACGCACTGGACGGAGCGCTGGATGAGTTGTCGGTCGAGTCATCATTGGTGACCGTGCAACCCAGCGTGAGTGTCAACGGCAGCACGGCCACGTGGACGTGGGATGTGTCCACAGCGCCGCTGTCCGCTGCAGAGATGACTTCCGCCCTGCAGACCATGGCCTACAAGAACTCTGCCGATGAACCAGCAGCGAGCGCAACGCGTGCGCTGTCCGTTCGCGTGTACGATGGCGCCGAGTGGAGCAACGACGCCCTGGCGCGCGTGCAAGTGACCCTGGTCAACGACAACGCACCCGTGATTGCCGTACCACAGAGCGGCCAAGTGCAAGAAGGGTCTGCAGTGGGCACGGTGCTCGTGTCGTTCGGCGTGAGCGACGCGGACGCGTGCGTGTCACCGCTGGCCACCAGCTGCAGCGACAACCAGGTCGCTGTGACGCTTCAAGCCGACTCGGAATCGCAGCAGTACGTCTCCATCAACTCGGCCATGACAGCGGTCGTGTTGTCTGCGAGCGTGGACCGGGAGACGGTTGCCTCCCTATCATTCAACCTGACTGCACAGGACGGTGGGTCACCCGCGCTCTCCACCACCGTTGGTCCCATTGCCATCAGCGTGCTGGATGTCAACGACAACTTCCCCAGCGTGTTCACGGATTTCCTGAGCATCACGGTGGACGAGGATGCCGCTGTGGGCTCCGTGGTGGGCAAAGTGGAGGCGTTTGATGGTGATGCGACGGCCGCGTTCTCCACGCTGCAGTTCTCGCTCAGCCCGTCCACGCCGCTCTCCATTGATGCAGACGGTGTGCTGACCCTCAACAGCGCACTCGATTTTGAAACTGCCTCGTTTGTCAGCATCAGCGCGACTGTGTCGGACGGCCAGTTCCAAGACGCGACGTTCATCGACCTGCAGGTGCAGAACGTGAACGACAACGCACCCGAGGTGGTGCTGACCCCTGCACTCGTCTCCGAGTATGTGGAGGGTAGCGGGCCCGTGCTTGTGGACAGCGGCCTGAGCGTGGAGGATGCTGACGGCGACTTGCCCTTGGAGAGTGCGGTTGTGCGCGTGACCACGCCTGTGTCTGGTCGCCAATGCTTGGTGGATGTTGCTGCCAACGACGCATTGCTAGCCCCGCACGCCCGCCTCCTTCGCTGCCACGACGGCCTGTCCACGCCGCTGATTGGCCAGGTGCAGGATCCCAACGCGTTCCCCGTGACCGTGCCCGCGTACAGGGTGCTGCCACTGCCGCGCTCGCTGCGCTTCACGCTAACGGCGTGGCTCTGGCTCTCAGATAGCAACAGCACGCAATGTGTGCTGAATGCGCTCGACGAAACAGCGCCATCACCTTCGGACGCGCTGCTGCTGTCATTCCGCCTGTCGGTGACTGAGGCGGTGCTGCAGTTCGTTGACGCACGTGCCAGGGAGGTGCAGGTGGTGTTCCCGACCACCGTGCCGACGCGGGAATGGGTGCACGTTGCGCTTGTGCTTCGGGGCAGCACGGCCCAGCTGCGCGTGGGCTCAAGCGTGTTCGATGCCGCGTACGTGCGGGAGGACGGCGTTGTTCGCCCGCCAACCATTCGCCAGCCGCTGACAGCCACCGCTGCGAGTGCGTTTGACGTTGGCGGTGCATCGACGCAGGCCGCGTGCGCGCGCTTCCAAGGCCTCATGGTCGGGCTCACCGTGCACGACGCCAGCCTGACAACTGCGCAGCTCTCGTGCTTGATGTCGTGCGGCGAAAGCGTCAGCGTGCCCACCAGTGCCTCTGCCAGCGCAGGCCTGGCGGTGACGACGGCTGTGTCTTCAACAGGGTTTGAGGTGAACATCTCCGGGCCCGGCTCACTGTCCGCGTTCAGCGCCGTGCTTAGCGCGCTCACGTACGAGCACAAGCAACACGCCCACCAGGGCACGTCTGTGGGCTTCACGGCACGCGTGTATGACGGCGTTTGGAACGGCACGGCGGCGTGGACGGTGGCGCTGACACCGCAGCAGTCACCGCCAGTTATCGCCAGCCGCAGCCCGGATGGCCTGGTGTTTACAGAGGGCGACAATGCAGCGGGCGCACCCGTGCCCCTGAGCGACGCCATGCTGTCTGTGGTCGATGTGGACAGCACCGAGTTTACGTCGCTGTCCTTTGAGCTGCAGCAGACACCTGATGGCGTTGATGAGGGCTTGGTCGTGACACGAGGACCTCCGACAGCGCTGACGATCATGGGTGATCGTGTGGTGATGACCATCATGGGACCCGCTCCGCTCAGCACTTTCATGGCCTTCCTCCCGTCCCTCGTCTACGTCAACACAGGTGAGCGTGTGTTGTGTTGTGTTGTGTTGTGTTGTGTTGTGTTGTGTTGTGTTGTGTTGTGTTGTGTTGTGTTGTGTTGTGTTGTGTTGTGTTGTGTTGTGTTGTGTTGTGTTGTGTTGTGGTGTGTTGTGGTGTGTTGTGAGTTGGTGTGACTCCGTGGATTACACCGTGAGGCTTGCACTCACTCGGCTATTTTTCGCATCCCCCCCTGTGTCAACCCGTTGTGCTAACGCTCACGTTACGCTCATCTTTGTGTACACCGCCTTGTGCTCTTCAGCGAGCGAGCCAACACCTGGACCGCGAGGTCTGCTCGTCAATGTGACTGACAGCAGCGGCCAAACTGCAGCGCCGCTTGCACTCAACATCACCGTTGTGAACGTGAACGACAACGCGCCAGCTCTTGCGCAGGTGCGTTATTTCAGAGGAGAAGAAGGACAAGAGCAAGAAAGGAAAAGAGCTAAAGAGGAAGTCAAGTACTGGGAATGAGTGTCGGGTTGACGGTGAGGGTGAGGGGAACGATGAAAAATACATGCGTGAATGCATGCACAGGTCTTTACTTGTGCACCAGTGTTTCTGTCGCGTCTATGCTCAAGCCTTGTGATGACGAAAGTCCTGACCACGTTGTGTTTATTGATGACATGTACATGCGTGGTGCAGGTGTTAAACAGCGTGGATGTGCCAGAGAACAGTGCACCCCCATTGGTGCTGTCGGGATTGTTCACGGCCACGGACGCAGACGGCGATGCGCTCGCCTTCAGCGTTGCACCGCCACTCGACACCGTGTTCAGCGCATCCGCGACTGGGCTTGTGCTGCAGCAGCGCCTTGATTTTGAGACGGGCGCAGCCGAGCTCAACGTGACGGTGGTCGTGTCTGACGGCGCGTTCACTACGACGGCGGTGGTTGCAGTTGCTGTTCTTGACCAGGTTGAGCCACCCACGCTGGCGCTGACCAGTGGACGCACGTTCTCGCAATCGTTCTCGCTGGACGCACTTGTGCAGACGACAGCCGGCGAGGGCATCGATGCCCTGCAGCAAGTGCGGGTGGTGTTGCCCGTGGACGCGGCAAATGCAGTACCAAGCACAGCGGTGCTCACGACGCTGCCGTGCGTCGACGAACCGCGGCTGAGCGTAAAGCTGACGCGCGCGTGTGCTGCGGGGCTGTGCGACTTTGACACGGCGTCCCTGCTCACGGACGCGGTGTACCGAGGCGGGGCGACACTGGACACGGCGGTGGAGCGCGTGTCTTTCCGCGGATCCGGGCGCTATGCCATGCTTTCGTCTTCGTTTGCAGACGCGCTGGTCGCTACCTCGTCCACGTTGGACGTGGGCGGCGTGGTGACATGGGTGCAGCAGGACGCGGGCACGGCGGGGATGCTGGTGGCCAAGAGCGTGAGCGACTTCACGCACGTCTTTGCGCTGTACTCCGATGGCCCGGACAGCTCGGTGACCCTGTACTACAGCAAGGCCGGGGAGAGCGACACAACCGTGGCGCGCGTCACGGCCGTGTTTGAGCTTCCTGCGGGCGTTGTGATTGCGGATGGCCAATGGCATCTCATGCAGCTGCTGGTGGCCTTCCCGGACGTGCACCTGTTTGTCGATGGCACGCGCGTGCCGCTGTCGTACGCCCTGCACAGGCCGACCACCCAGAGCGCACTGCAGCGCGTGGAAGGCCCGCAGCTGCCGTTCCGCCTCGCGGACACACAGGGGCGCGCGTGGTACATTGGCGCCCGCGAAGACAGCCTGGCTGGCGCCGCGGAGCGACTGTCCGGCGAACTGAGTGGCACGACCTTCCTGTCTGCAACTGCGCCCGACAGCCTCAACGGCACCGCAACGCATGACCTGGTGACCTCGTGTCCGGAACGCATGCAATCCAGTGAGGTCTCAGTCGCCGGTGTGACGGTCACACGCACGGGTCCACTGGATGTGAGCGCGGCCTTTGTTGACCGCACGGCGCGGACAACCGCAAACGTCAACACAGTGTTGCAACAGCTTGTGTACTCGAGCTACGTTCCGCTCGCCGATCGCAACGTGACCGTGGACATTACATATGGACAGACATACAACGCGCACCTGCGGCAGTCCACGACATTCACCCTGATGACATAGACTGTTGTTGTTGTTGTGTGGGGGTGTGGGTGGGGGTGTAGGGGGTGATGCGGTGAGCAGTGAGGAGTGGGATCTGTACAGAATAGGAAGGTGGTGTAAGGGAGTTGGACGCGGTGGTGGGGAAAGGGAATGATGTTGTGATGACACATTGCTTTCGGATCGTGTACATTGTTACATTTGCTGTTGGCCGGTTGCTGTTGTTATCTTCTTCTTCTTCTATTCTAGCAGGGTCCCCTGTTTTTGTTGTGTGTGTGTGTGCTGTGTGTGTGTGTGTGCTGTGTGTGTGTGTGTGTGTGTGTGTGTGTGTGTGCTGTGTGTGTGTTGAGGGGTGTGGCAGGACTGTATTGAAACGCTTGCTGGAATGACTCATTGAAGCATTGACAAACAGTTGGAGGGTGACCAGGCAGGCAACACATTGAAATGCTTAGCGCCAAAACAACACAGGTGACATTGACGTGTAACGAGGAGCAGGAGGAGCAACAGAAGGAAACGCCAAAGCGTCGAGCTGCTTCCAGAAAGAAAGCACACACACTCACACAGGCACACGCACGCGCAACACCTCGTAATGTCACTTGGTAGCTTGGTGGTGTGTGTCATTTCACTGGAGCGAATGCACCAAAATAAAACAGTGTAACAGCACCTCGTAATGTCACTCGGTGGTGTGTCACACTGGAGCGAATGCACCAAAATAAAACCGTGAGTCATCATGTCGTCTGTGTGCTTTTCACTGGAACAGGGAAACGTTTTGGTTCATTTACATTTCCAACCACGAGCAGGACCTGGCGACAACATAACAACAACTGTACCCACATACATCTCTCCTTCCTTTCTCCCCTCCTTCTTCACTTCTTTTGCTGTCAGCCTCAGCGCAATGGGGGCCACGACGAGTCGGCACATCGCCGCGTACTGTGAACAGGGAGACGTGACCTCTCTTCAGGCAAACTACTGGAGGTATAAGCCTGGATCTCACAAAGACCCAGTCACGCACAATCGCGGCAATGCATTGCACTTCGTCTGCGAAGGCCGGTGTCCGGTGACTGTCACCCACTGCCTTCTGGACAGACTTCACTTCAACCAAGCAGATGGGAACGGCAACGGCGAGCTGGCTCTGGAGATTGCAGCGAAGCATGGAGCGCGGGTGCATTTGACTGCTCTGCTTGGCGAGGCACATGCTGCTGAAGAAGGGCGCAAGCAGAATCTCAAGAGCGCCATCATGAAAAGGGTTGGGCAAGGAAACGGAGACACGATCCTGATTCAACTGGCTGAAGCTGGCAAGGTCGACCTCCTGCGCGAAGTCCTCACGACAGTTTCAGCACTTCTCTCCCTCGAAGAGCTTCATGATCTCATTCACGACCCAAACGTCAACGGGGATACCGTGCTCGATATTCTGTTTGCTCGACAAACACCCTCCGCTGCCGCACAGATCCTTGGCGCACTCCCAAACGATCGTGGCTTGTACACAACAGACCCAAGCGCTTTTCAGGAGGTGTTCGAGATGCTTGAGGCTTCAGGCGATCTTGAACACTTCCCACGCTTCGTGCAGCAGAAAATCTCGGATAGCGAGCTGGATAGCCTGAGCAACACAGACCTCGACAACCTCGATCTTCCCCAAGGCTCCAAGGTGCGCGTTGTCAAAGAGATGGTCAGCAGAAGAGCTCGACAACTGATTTCTCAAGCAGTTGACAGAGGCAGTCGAACCAACGCAAACCTCAACTTGCATGACGTCATTGCTCCGCGAATCGGACTGCAGCTACTCAATGACATTCTCAGTGACATCCTGCGGCATCGACGGCAACAGCCCAACTCACGGCTCAGTTTGCAGCAGCCCCAACGCTGGCTGCTGTTACATGGCCCACATGGGACAGGCAAGACCGCCATCGCACACGCACTTGCCAACAGCGCAGGTCTGCCCTTCGCTGCGCTCAACATGGAGGGCGTTGATGGCTATCTTGGACACAGCCGCGCCCACGTGCTTGAGGCCTTGCTGACTGCGGCCTCCGATCTGGCGTGCAAACCTACAGACAACGTCACGCCTGGCTGCGCGGTCGTTGTGTTGGAGCATCTCGAAGCCATCGCAGGGCACAACAGCGCCACGGATGCCATCGTTGACTTGCTGCATGCCGATAGGTGGCCTAACCTCATATTGATCGCAACTGCCGACACTATTGGCTCTTTGAATGCCCAAGTTCGGCGGACGTTCGCCATGCCAATGTTTTGTCTTCCACCAAACAAGGACAGTCGACGAAGGCTCATCACCCTGCAATTGAGCAACCACAGGACTGGTGTGAGTGACGTCACTCTTCTTCGTCACCTCGTCAGAGAAACGCGCTTGATGACTGTGCCGGACGTCATTCAGGCTGCGACAAATGCTGCTTCGATAGCGCGGGCTCGGGTCAGCGCCGACGACGTCAGCGTGCCGGCGACACTGAACTGGGATGATGTCAGAAACGCACTCGCGCCTCTTCGCCGGTTGTCGGACGACCAGATGCGTGCATACGTCGAGGATGCATGCAGGTTCCATCCATCTGTCCATCAGTGGCTCAAGGACAGCGCAGCGTTGGAGCCACCCACTTCACGAGCCAGGGCCATGTGGGAGGAGATTAGCCAGTGGTTGTCCGAGGAAACGCTTGAGCAGTTCTTTGAAGGGTTCATGGGTTGAGGAGCGCCTCAACATCGTGCGGGCGTCTTGTCTGTGCAGAAGACTCTGCACTTGTGAATGTATCTGTCTGTAGGTGTGTGGTGTATGCGCGCTTGCATGTCTTTGCGTGTACGCGTGTATGCGTGCTCCTGTCCATCTCTCGCACTGGGGCGGTGAGCATCAAGGGGATTTGCGTGAGCTGTTGAGCTGGCTGCCTCTGCTGTTCTGTTGTTGTTGTTGTTGTTGTTGTTGTTGTTGTTGTTGTTGTTGTTGTTGTTGTTGTTGTTGTTGTTGTTGTTGTTGTTGTTGTTGTTGTTGTTGTTGTTGTTGTTGTTGTTGTTGTTGTTGTTGTTGTTGTGCCGGTCGTTGCGCTTGCTGTGTCTGTTGTGGTTGCTGCAATTGTGGCTGCTGAGGGTCGCCCTGGCACCGCGCTTTTCGCCCATCCCTCTTCTTGCCACCGTCGTCCCGTGTGGTATCCTGCATGTACCTGCTGGTGGTTGGTTGCCGTGTGTAGTAGTCAATGGCCACGTCGATGTTCTCCTCGGCATAAGGCATGTCGCCATGCCGGGCAATGCTGAGGAGCAGGCGGACAGTGGTGTGTGGGAACCGCTGCCGCTGTTCGTGGATGACGTCGAGTAATGTGTCGAGGTACGCACGCTTGGTCGGCTGTGGCTTGATGCCGATGCGAAACTCGCAGTAGATGACGTTGTCCAGTGCCAGCTGCTCGATTGCCGCTGCCAGGAGCTGGCGCAAGTGCGCGTCGTCTGTCGAGGCCACCTTTACGGCGTGGCACTGCTTCATCAGCACTTGCCACGCGCGCTCCTGCGCCTCTGGGCCATCACCGGTGACCCGCGGTGTGACAAGCAGCGCATCTTCGGCAATGTCCGGCGCAACCTCACTCAGGATATGCTGCACGGCATTCGTTGGCATCGCACCCGTCAAGTGCCGATGCAACTCCACCTGCGGGAGGGGCGAGGAGTTGGGTAGCAACAGCACAAACCCAGCATGGCGTTAATGTGTGTGTGTGTGTGTGTGTGTGTGTGTGTGTGTGTGTGTGTGTGTGTGTGTGTGTGTGTGTGTGTGTGTGTGTGTGTGTGTGTTTGTCTTTGTGTGCTTGTTGCGTGTTCGTGGGGTGTGTGTGTGTGTGTGTGTGCTTGCGTGTTCGTGGTGTGTGTGTGTGTGTGTGTGTGTGTGCGTGTGTTGACATCACACGTGTTGAAGTGCTTTCACCAACCACACCAGTCAAACACACCAACCACACCAGCACATCAACCACATCAACCACATCAACCACACCAAATCGACCTCCTCACTTTTGGCAGCGCTTGGCAGAGCTCTGTCAGGAAGGGCAGATCAGCTGCCCGGTTTGCCAGCGAATTCGTCATTGTTGCAAATACACAGGGGTTGGTTTCGTCCGTTTCAAGTGGACTTGAAGCTTGAAGACCCTCTTGCTCTTGCGTTCTTGCGTGCTTGCGTAGTTGTCATGTCTCGCATCAGCTGCGCTGAGCCTAACAGCATCGCGATAGTGCTGGCGATCGTAGGCTCTTCTGCTCATTTCTTCATTTCTTTCTTGTCTTAATGTAACACAGTTGACAACAAGCCTGCGCTACATCGGCCTCGCCCTCTCGCTTCATCGATCAGCAACCGCTGCTCCCCTCTCCCTTCTCCTCTCCTCTCCCTTTCCTCCTCCTCTCTCCCTTCTTCTCCTCTCCATTGTCCTCCTCTTCTCTGACAGAAGCCCAAGCATGGCAGGCAATACGGCTGCATGGCCGCGACGCAGCCAGCAGGTGCTTCTGCTGTCGCTTCTCATCCTTGTGCACACGACACCCGCAGTCTTGGGTTGGATCAATGGCTGGGGAGATCCCCTGAGCTTTGAATGCCCCACTGGCTCTTCAATCTCCTTCATGGGCAGCTACCACGACAACGAGTAAGGCAGGGCGTCAGCCCGTGTGATCGATCGTGCACTCTTGCACTGTGCTTGAATTGCCCCTTGTTCGCTCACGTGCGCGGTGCTTGGCTCGGGTGGCATGCAATGAACGCATGACACAACAGCAATGTCCGCCCCATTTCTTCGCACAGGGGCCTCAGCTGTTGTGCCTACAAACCATCAACATACGATCATGCTATCAACAAGCTATCAACATACCACCAACAAGAAGCCCATGCCCTGCTCACCTTCGCACTTCGATTGCCCCATCCGCTGACAGTGAAGAAGACCGTCGCTGGAAGTTCTCGTGTTCCCCCGTATCCACGGGAGATGGCACAGGCGCATCGTGAGTTGCCGCCCGCAATGCAACCGAATAGCCTTCTGGTGTTTCGTATGCCGAAGTCTCACCCCTTTACCCTGCTGCCCTGGTCATACCACCTTGAAGAATGTGATGAACACCCGTCTCATCACATGTACATTTACGTGTTCCGAACAACCCAACGCAGATGGTCAAACTGGGCCAACGACTGGAATGCCAACTTTGCCTTCTCGTGCCCCGAAAACAAGTGTATGTAGCCCTGGTGTGTGTGTGTGTGTGTGTGTGTGTGTGTGTGTGTGTGTGTGTGTGTGTGTGTGTGTGTGTGTGTGTGTGTGTGTGTGTGTGTGTGTGTGTGCGTGTGTGTGCGCGCGCTTGGATTCAACCTGGTTTTCTCCAACCAGGCCACAGGGACCTGAGCTTGCCTGCAACAGGACGCACTGACACGGTTTCGCCCCATTTCCCCTCCCCCACCCCGCACTTCATTCGTTGTACAACTGTTGTTCGCTCAGACGTCAACGGCTTGTCGAGCGAGTTCGATGATGAAACCGAGGATCGCCGCTGGAAGTTCAAGTGTGAGTCCATCTCAAACGCCAAGCTCACCGATTGCCGTGAAGAGTTCACGTTCACAAACGAATACGACGAGGAAGGCAGCTACTCCGTCGGCGAGAGGGTCATGATCGGTAAGTTCTGTCGATCATTCATTCTGCATTTCTTGCAACGGTTAGCAGTGGTCTAATTGAATGTTGCCTCATTTCTTGTTTGCTTGAACTTGGCAGGGATTGCCACACACACACATACACACACACACTCTCTCTCATCTGCTCACACACGCATACACACACACGCGCGCACACACACTCGCTCACTCGCTCACACTCACTCACACACACTCCCTCTCATGTCCTCATGTTGCAGGATGGTTCAGTCAGAACGATGATGACAGGGACGATCGCAAGTTCAAGGTGTGCATCTGCACGCGCTTGCTTCAGTGTCACGTTGACAAGCTGTGCACACACACACACACACTCTCTCTCTCTCACTCTCACTTGCACACACTTGCACACACTCACACCCATGTCCTCACGAACTCGCACACCCTGCTTCTCCTTCACTGAACTGGGCCGCCGCCGATGCTACCTGCATTTTCATTTCATCAGCCCACTACGTGCAAGGTCTGTCACTCTCCTGCCAGCGCTGAAACAATGGCGGCTGTTGACTTGCTCGTGTGCCAAACCATTGCGCTATGACTCCGGCCTGTGATGTTTCAACCTTACGTTATGGCGCTTTCCAGTGGCTTTTATCAAGAGATCAAGCGTCACCCGCATACATGCACACACTTACACACATCCACGCATACACACGCTCACATGCACACATTCACACTTGCAAACATGTACACTCACACCCAAATACACAAACACACCCACTCATAACCACTCATTCACACACAGATGGAATGCGACAAGGATTCTGGTTATCGCCTGATCAACGACCGCGAGTGCGAGCGTGAGTCCTTGAGTTGGCGCAATGCACGGCAGACAAAGGCTGTGTTTGCATCCGACGGTTCCTGCGTCTGTTGCAAAGCTGCTTGCTGTCCTAACACAACATGTCCGTTATCTCTCACATACTCCTCCACCCATCCCCCCATCATCCCCTCACCGCGGCAATTTCAATCTTTGCCGACAGTGGTGTCTTGCGATCCCCTCACTCTCGATGGCGGTTCAACCAGTGGTGACTGCGGTGGCGCATTTGGTGAGTCAATGGTCGACAACAATCTTCCCATTGATGCACGACAAGCCTTGCGCGTACACACGAGCTCAGTTGTCATGATTTTGAGCATCCAGCCTCCTTTCCTTCTTTCCGTCAAGCCAGCATGAGTCGTGTCATATTGATGAGCAACGAGACAACACAGCACAACTGCCTACCCCAACACTCAACCTCTCGCCAACACCATTGACCAACACCACCACAGGTGACGAGTGCACATACGACTCCTGCGATGAAGGGTACACCTTGTCCCTCAGTGGCACCAAGACGCGAACATGTGGCTGGCTCGGCGACGAGGCGTCCTGGTCAGGCACTGACAAATCCTGTGATGGTACGCGGGTTCTTGCTTGCTTGCTTGCTTGTGCTGTCGCGCACTGTGTTAGTGTGCGCACGTTTATCTGCAACCTAGATTCGTACCCCTCTCTCCTTGGTGCCGTTCAAGATTGCCACATCACCCATAACGAAGGCACCACCTGACTTGACGTTGACCGTACCTTTCCTCATCAAACACACACACACACACACACACCCACCCACACACACACACACACACACACACACACACACACACGTGCCCTGCCTCACTTTTGTTGCTGTTGCTGCCCGCTTCTGTTTTGCATCACAACTGTAGACATCGACGAGTGCAGCACAGGCGAACACGACTGTGTTGACGGCGCCGTATGCACCAACACACCCGGCAGCTTCACGTGTGCTTGCGTGTATGGCAGCCTGTCCGGTGGACAATGTGTTGGTGAGTCCAGCAACAAGCTGGCGAGATGACATTCGTTGTTCCGTTCGTGTTTGTTTTGACGTAGCTGCGGTGCAAGTATAATGCTCGCATCGCAGCTGCCACGCTCTCACATACTTACACGTGCGCACGCTTCCGTTGGCTTGCAGTGCCCGCACCATCTGTTGGCATGAGCGTGTCACTGGCATCCATCTCCTTTTCCGTGTCTGGATCGTGGTCAAGCGAATTCCCAAAGTACCAGGTGCGATCAATGGACACCAGCAACAGACGAGGACACTCGATGAACCTTTTCCCTTGCACGCTCACTTGCACGCTCACAGGCCTGATCGTTGCTTTCGGCCCATGTGCAAGGTGGGGTTGGAGCTGTTAGTTTTGTGCCTCAGTACTTCTCTTTCCTCACCCACACATGCATACACATCATGTACAGATCTCAATCGCTCGCTGGGCATATGACCTTTCATCCTACACCGACATCAGCGGTTACCCAAAGCAAGTGACGGGCTCACTCACTTCCCACTTGGCCTCGGGTCTTTCCGCTGGCACCCGATACAGGGTTTGTTCTTCACCACCCGCATTCTCACCCACACATGATGCTTCGTGGGCATGTGCACGCCAATTACCCAAGCACACCAGCAACATGCATTTGGTGTCATGATCACACGCAACACCTGGCAGGGCTTTGCACCTCAGTGGCGCACACCCCCATGTGAACTCATAGGACACACACACACACACACACACACACACACACACACACACACACACACACACATACACACATACACACACACTACATCTGCGATTTCCAGCTGCTGTTCTCACATGTTACTCTCTGTCACAGATTACGCTGACCCCTCTCAACGAGAACGACGAGCCAATGACCCACTTTGAGCACATTGCATACCAGTACGGGACCACCGACCCTCAGACACCCTGCGGCTGTGGTGGCTCCTCAGGTGCACCCACGGACTTCAAAGTGAAGCAGTTCAAGGGTCACATCCTGTTTGAGTGGGCAGACCAGAGTCAATGCGAGTCTGCGTTCACATTCACGCGCAACGGTGTCGGTCTCGCCGCCCGCTTCGATGTGACGGAGCAGCAGGCCTGCGGTGCCGTCCAGAAGCCCCTCTCCATCTCCGACGATCTCACCATCCAGTCGCGTGAGTACTAATATGGGTGTGTGTTGGTTTGCTTGTGCGCGTCATGTGTATGTGTGTGTGTGTGTGCATGTGGGTGCGTGTGTGTGTGTGTACGTGTGTGTGTTTGGGCGATTGCGAACGTGTGCACGCATACTATATGGGCCATTGTTTGTGTTGCGGGAACGAAACCACGAACTCACACACCATCCCATTACCTATCGTTGCCGACCCTTCTTTCCTTGACAGCGGGCGGTTATGCCGAGGTCGACTCCTCCATCAACTACAAGCTGCCAGACGGTGAGTGGAATGCACACACACACACACACACACTCTCTCTTTCTCTCTCTCTCTCTCTCTCTCTCTCTCTCTCTCTCGCGAGACGCTCGCCCTCCGACACTTCACCCACCATCAGGTCTAATCGCTGCTCCATGCATGACTGTCTGCTTCCGTCTCATGCAGGGTCGTTTTATCTCCGCCTGAGCACTGCCGTTGAGGAAGGCGAGATGCGCCTCAAGTACCCGCGTGAGCTCCAGCGCGATGGTGGGTTGAATACACAACTGCAATGATTTGTCCTTGCCACTTTTTCACACACACACACACACACACACACACACACACAAGCATGTATTCACTCCGCCACATCTCAACAAACGCATGCTCTTTTTTGATTTGCAGGAGGCCACTTTGCGTCCACAAGCACGACCACGACGGCTGCGCCGCAGGGTGTGCCTGACGACGAGAACCGCTACTACCCCGGCACATCCTCGCCCGTCGCATCCGTGACGGAGTGCAAGGACCTGTGCGACATTCGCTCCTCCTGGTGCATCGCCTTTGTTGTGCAGACGAAAGCCGATGACACGCTTGTGTGCCACCAGCTGCGTGTTGTGGAGACGGCTGCCCTCAAAAGCGGCGAGAAGAAGGCCGTGTCGTACGAGCGCGTCACCGTGTCTGGCACGGGCGTGTCTGGCTCCTACATCTTTGACGGCACGCAGGATGACTGCGAGCAGGCGTGTACCGATTCCGGGTCATGTGTCCTGACCATAGTGGACTCGGGCGTGTGTGGCATCATCAACAGCGCCGCGACAACAGGAACACCAGCCAGCTCCATTCACGCCAGCCTGGACCCTGACTTCAGTCGCCGCATCCCAGGCCCAGAGCCAGGCAGGACGCAGACGTACTGCATTGCCGCGACCAACCCCACCTGGTACACGGAGGGCGGGTACAGTTCGGGCCAGACGTGCACATCGTACACGATCCAGTGGGAGAGCCAGCTTGAGGGCCAGATTACCATCGACTCCAAGGAGATCCACCTCCCTGTTGAGCACGTGGAGATTGAGTATGAGATTGGGCCCATCCGTGGCCGCCGCGTCACCAACGAGGACGGCAAGTTCTTCATCCACATCCTCACAGACCAGCTGCAAGGCAACCGCCACCGCATCACGCTCCGCTTCTCCAAGACCACGGGCAACATCAAGCACACCTTCACCTGCGGTGGCATCGCATGCACAGAGACCACGCTCATCATGGAACACCTTCGCTTCGACCATCAGGTCAACGTCAAAGACACCACGTCCCTCCCCTTCAGTGGCATCGTCTCCATTGGCGGCACGGAGCACGAGGGCCTTCCTGACGGCTGCCCGCTCAAGGACGTTGAGGTGTGTCTGTACGACCGCCACCAGGCCAACACCCTCATCAACTGCGATGTGACAGACTCCAAGGGCCGCTACCTCGTGCGCGCTGTTCTCGGCACATCTGTCACCGTCAGCCTTGCGTACGGCAACTCGTCGCACACCTTTGAGCGCGTCACCTACGACCAGGACGCAGCCAACGCCCCTTCGGGCATCCTGCAGACCATCAATGCTCTGAATTCGCTCGAGCGCACACCATACTACGACGTGACGGACGGCAAGTTCTGGGAGAACATCAACTTCAAGGACACAATGTCTGACAGGGCGACAGTCGACATTGCTGGCGGGCTGTGTAACCTAAACCTCGGCGACGCGGTGATCGAGTTCCGGTACGACATGTGCCCAACATGGGTGAAATCACGCACCATCTCTGACCGGCTGTCCAAGTGGACGCTGCCAGCGCAAATCATCACGGTGCGCTTCAAGGAGATTACGCGCAACTACGAGGTTCGTGGCGAGATTACGCGCTACTTCTCGGCCAAGCTGGGCAACTCGCGATCGCTGTACTTGGACCTGCGCAACCCGCAGGAGGACGACGAGGACAAGAAGACGGTGCGATTCGAGTACCACCCGCCACCGCAGCTGAGCGTTGAGTTTGACAAGGAGGAGAAGCACAACTGTAACAGCACAGAGGGCGATCGCCCGCTGCACGTCATCAAGCAGAACGTGGAGCTGAAGGCGACTGTGAAGGTCATTGAGGACTACGGCGAAGGCGTGGGCACGTGCGATGCGGTGCCGGGCCAGATTGAGGTTGAGAACCAGTTGGGCGAGTCGCCAGCCACCGTTGATGCACTCAATGCCACCACCTCTCTCACGGACAAGCAGTTGAACAAGTTGAAGCTGTGCTATGACACGTGCCTCATGGACGTGAAGATGGACGAGGAGCTGCAGGACGGCGAGACCGTATACTCGAACACGCGCATTGAGCTGAACATCATGACGGGTGAGCCAGAGACCAACCCACAGGCCGTCAACCCAGAGAACCCGTACTCCAAGCTCTTCCGCGTCACCATGCACAACCTTCCACAGGATCCCGTCAGCGTGTACGAGAAGGTGGTGGTGGTTGGCGACAAGGTCATCTCAAAGTACTTCAGCGTGCCCTTCCCGCGCTACCAGCCGCTCACAGTCATTCAGGACCCGCCCGGTGGCCTGTCCACCGTCACCTACTCCAAGGCGTACACCAACTTCCTTGTGGATTCCCACACCCACGAGGAGTACCATGGATTCTACTTCACGACGGGGCTTGCTCCCGTCAAGGTGGAGACGGGCGTGGAGCAGTGCGTTGGCCTCGGCGCTGCCGTGTGCACCAAGGTGGCAGACACGGAATCCACCCCGTTCAAGCTGACGGTCGACCAAACTCACGTCAGTGGATGTTTGTGTGTGTGTGTGTGTGTGTGGGTGTGGGTGTGTGTGGGTGTGGGTGTGGGTGCGTGCGTGTGTGTGTGTGTGGGTGTGTGTGTGGGTGTGTGTGTGTGGGTGTGTGCGTGCGTGCGTGTGTGTGTGTGTGTGTGTGTGTTTGCGTGTGTTTGCGTGATTACGCGCATGTGTTTCGAGTTGACGAGACTGAAGCATCGTGAGCTTGCCTTGCTTACCACACACACACACACACACACACACACTCACTCACTCACTCACAAACGCTCTCGCCGTGCGACCCCACTCTCTGTCCTGTCCAATTCTTTTACTCCATCAGACCTTTGGCAACATGGATCCGGACGACAACTACGGCACAGAGCGCGTGTGGTCGTTTGAGATTGAGCTGACGACCTCTGACGATGTAATGTTGGCTGGGGAGCGTTCCGACATGTTCCTCGTGCCCGCCCTCAACGTGGTGTGGATGGAGACGGAGGAGGTCTCGTTCGACGTGGAGCAGTGCCGGGCATCAAAGGAAACCAAGGTCAAGTGGAGCCTCGAGGGTCAGGACAACAGCGAACTAATCACCTGGATCTCTGCGTTTGAGATTGAGAACAAGGAGCTGCCAGACCTTCGCAAGCTGCTCGCTCTCGCCGAAGAGCCGCCAGGTGATGATGACGACGAGACGGAGGAGGACAGGGCGGAGAAAGTTGCGGAGTTGAAGCGGGCAATCAAGGCGTGGGAGGACAACCTGGACCGCAACAAGGAGGTGCGCGACAAGGCAGCAGCAGGCACGCTTGACCCCGTGCAGGACCTGTGGAGCAAGACCTCAGCGGAACACGACTGCGCGCCGCCGCTGTCCATGATCGAGAACCCGAAGAAAGCGTCGAAGCTGCTGAGCGAAGCGTCCAAGGTGAACCGGTGCGACGGCTTTGGTGCTGCCCACATCAAGGATGACGCAGGCAAGGGCATCTCGCTCGCCCCGCACGATCTGATTGACGGCGCCACAGACCTGGACGACAAAGAGGCGTCAGACCAGGACAAGCAGGACTTGCGCAGCATCAAGACGATCAAGTTCTCTGGCGGCGGGTCCACGTACACGTTTGGTTTTGACCTTGAGCAGACCAAGTCGGCCGTTGGCGGCAGCTCCCGCACGCACGAGGTGACAGCCGGTGTCGATGTTGAGTTTGGATTCAAGGTCTTTGGCGTGGGCATGAGCTTTGAGCTGTCCACGGGCTACAACTACGAAGGAACGACAGCCGAGGAGCATGAGGCCGGCGTCACCACGGGGACACACATCGAATTCACTGTGAGTGTCATGTGTGTGGTTTGTGTGTGTGAATGTGAATGTAAATGTGAACGCGCGGGAGTTTTGTTTGGGGTGGTGGTGCTTCCTTGCGTTGATGGAGTTTGTGGGCGTTGGGGCTGGGTCTTGTTTGCCTTGATAAAGGTTTGTTGGTGTGATGTACTTGTTTGTTTCGCTCACGTGCAAGGCGTTGTTCACGTGCAAGCGTTTGCTTATTCCGCCACCATCACCACCACCTCCACAATCGTCATCGTCACTTTGCAGCTTGGCGATCCCGATCCACTGGATGTCTTTGATGTGCAAGTGTTCCTGCACCCCGACTACGGCACGCTCGTCTTCCACACCACCTCTGGCCAGTCGTCGTGCCCGCACGAGCCCAACACGGTACAGCTGGAGCAGCCTGGCATCAGCGTTCTAACACGACCAGAGGCGCCGGTGCTGCCCGGCGAACCTGCTGTATTCGAGGTTCTGCTCAAGAACGACGGACCCATGACTTCCGACTTTAACGTGAGTGTGCGATTGTGGTTGTAGTTGTGGTTGCGTTTGCGATTGTGTGTGTATGTTTGTGTTTGAGCTTGCATTGTATGCATTCATTGTGGCGGCATTCCTTGTTCTGGTATGGTCAGCAACAGTTGGGCAGACACGTGTCCTGCACGTTCCCACATACTTACACTTTGTTCTCACAATCATCTCATCTCCCCTCCTCCACTCCTCCCAACTCTGTTCCTGTTCCCTCTCAACACGCGCAGCTGTTCTATCTGTCGTGGCTGAACCAAGATGGGCTTGAAGTTGTAGCCAACGGACAGGCGCTGGAGACGCCACTCATCTTTGAGGGCTTCCCCGGCAGCTCGGCAAAGTACCTCACCATCACCGTGAACCAAGGCCCAAGCAAGTTCAAGTACGACCCAGTCGCCATTGGCTGGCGGTCGCTGTGCGAGGCCGACAGGCATCCCGACAACGGCTACGTCACGGACGAGGTGACGAGCGTGGAATACGTGTACTTGGAGGCTGAGTTCCTGCAGCCGTGCAGCCCCGTGAAGCTTGTTGGCGAGATTGGCGAGTCTGGCGCGTTCACCCTCAACCAGGAGACGATGGAACAGGACTACAAGCCTGGCCAGATCCGCGTTGTCGCCTTCAACCCGGATCACGCCGAGCGCACGTGGCTGGAGGACGATCGCCTGGAGAAGGTCGTCATCGAGTTCAAGCCAGTCAACTCGTACATCTGGCTGCTGGCCCGCGACGAGAACGGCGACGCGCTGGACATTCGCGAGCGCGAGAACGAGTATGGCTACATCACGTCGTGGTGGGACGCGTCGACGCTGCTTGAGGGCGACTACCACCTCCGCATCCGCGCGCAGTGCCAGGCGTCCATCAACGAGGTGCCCGATGGCATTGACGAAAAGCTGTCGTTGGTGGCAGCTGGTGTCGTTGATCGCGACCCGCCGGTCGTTTTTGGATTCCCTGAGCCCGCGGATGGCGAGTTCTTCCCTGGCGACGAGATCTCGTTCCAGTTCAACGAGGACGTGGAGTGCCGGCAGCCGTTCATCTTCCAGGTGTCGCTGACGGTGGAGGACTACGACCGCGACTTCAACAACAACAACATGGTGATTGTGTGCGAGGGCCGCAAGATCTCCATGTCCCTTCGCCGCGGGTTCCGCTATGACGAGGTCAACGGCCTCACCGCCACTGTCATCATCGAGAACGTCAAGGACCTCAACGACAACCGAATGGAATTCCCACCCGAGCACACGTTCAAGTTCGCTGAGCTGACGCTTGAGGACGCGAGCGCATCTGTGAGCGGGTTGGAGCTTGACATTCCATTCCAAGCTGTGTATCTGGACACGGCGTCCGTCATCTACACCAACTTCACCCGCGACCTTGCGCGCGAGATTGCGGCGTTGGTGGATGTGCCAGCCTACCGTGTGGAGATTGTGCTGGTTGAGCCAGTCGATGAGAACGACTACACATTGGGCACGAGCGTGACGCTGAAGTTTGCGCCGGCGTCAACACAGGCCCCGGAGACGCAGGCGCTTCAGCGGCGGCGGCGCGCTGTGGGCGACGAGATACAGCTGTCTGCCACGGAGCTCGCCAACGTCTTGCAGCAGCGCATTGCCAACACGACGCTCACGTCCAACTTCACGGTGCTTGCCAGCGCAAACGCAGACATCAGCCTTGGTGTTGAGGTGGAGCCGTCAGAGGAAGACACCATTCAGTACCAGCAGTCGGCGAGCACATCAACGTCGACAAGCACCTCCTCCGTCTGGGCTGACGTCAACTTGGGTGAGCGCATTTGCTCTTGGCGTTGTTAGCTTGTTGGTGCTGAAATGTGTTTGTTCGTTTGTGGTTTGTTACTGTGATTGAGTGCTTGTGCGTGCTTGTGCGTGGTTGCTTGTGTGTTTGTGTGTTTGTGCATGCTTGTTTGTGCATGCGTGTTTGTGTGTATGTGAGATTGCACGTGTGCATGCGCTGTGAACACAGCATGTTGTGTTGTACGCTTGTGTCTGCACGCTTGTGTCCGCTTGATGGCGAGGGTGCGTGAGTGATGGGTGCACGTCGCCATTTTCTCCACCCCTCCGCCTTATTTCGTTGTCTCACCATGTACATCGTTGTTTCTTGACCTGGTGCATGCAGGCACTGTGGTCATCCTGGTGGCCCTGGTCATGCAGGCTGCCGTGTTGTTGTTTGCCATGTCGCGCATGCAGCGTAACTGGCTTCAAGAAGTCATGTGGCAGAATGGCGGCAAAGGCAGCACTGAGCAATCCAGTTTGCAGGACAGCAAGCGCCCCATCTCTACGCCGCAGTCCCGGCCCGTCACCTCGTTTGCGCGCATTTTCTCCTCCAAAAAGTCGGCTGTCGTTGTTCCGTTCGATGTCGACGAGTCTAACGCCTAACTAACGAGCGTTTGTGTTGATGCTTTCGCGGTTGATTGTGTTTTATCATCGAACAAAAGCGTGTGTGTGAGTGTGCTTTTGTGTGCGCGTGTATGTCCATGCTTTCCGCGGTTGCTTGTGTCTTATCACCGGACAAAAGCGTTGATATGTGTGTGTGGTGTGTTGTGTCATTGCTGTGCCGGTGTTCGGCGACTCAAGACCCTGTTGTTGCGTCCGCATGAAGCTGCTGGGAAGTGTGTATTTGTGGCCACTGTTTTACTTGCAATAAACCAGACTACAATTGCAGTCCAATCATGGCACACCATGCATAGCAGCAACACCACACACATCCCCAACACCTTGCAACATCGCGTCACAGTTGCAAGTCACCTCGCTCAGCATGTTGCGGCACAGCCAATCGCAATCAGCAAGGAAGGCTGTGGCGTGTGCAGTTATGGCAACCAACCCACCACCACCACCATCATCATCATCACCATCAAGGCAGCTTCGCAACTTCATGTCAAACACCAGTTTTGAAGCGAAGGGCTTGGTGTGCGTGGTGCTCGGAGTGTTCGATGTGGTGGTACTGCTGTCGTTGCTGCTGCTGGCGGTGATGTCGGGTGGTGGTGTCTGTTGGTGTGCACGCGGCTGTGAATCTGCATGTGGAACTGAACTTGGATCTGCACGTGCGCGCGCGTGTGCGTGCGACTCTGGAAGCGGAAGCCATCCCTCGCACAAGGCACGCAGTGCGGATTGGATGGTTGTCAGCTCCATGTGCACGAACGATGGCATGTGCACGTCATGCAGTGCCGGATGGAACGACAGCACCTGCGATGCCACTGCAGGGTCATGGATTAACTCTGACATGCGTGGCCACACGAGGCGTAGCCGTGACTGCTGGTGGTGCAGTTGTTTGCCCTGTTGTTGTTGTTGTTGTTGTTGTTGTTGTTGTTGTTGTTGTTGTTGTTGTTGTTGTTGTTGTTGTTGTTGTTGTTGTTGTCGCCCTGGGGTTTGCAAAGTGGACGAGTGAGCAGCCGTACCACTTCTGCCATTGTCGTTGCTGTTGTTGCTGTCGCTGATGTTGCTGTCGCTGATGTTGCTGTCGCTGATGTTGCTGTCGCTGCTGTCACAGTTGACATCATCATCATCATCATCATCATCATCATCATCATCATCGTCATCATCATCGTCATCATCATTACGCTGTGTGCGCTCCTGCCACGCCATCAGGCGGTCAACGGCAACAGCGGCAGCCAATGTCAGCATCAGATACACGTCCAGCATATCCAGGGAGCAGTTGGCACGCAGCAAACCCTGGCACAGCGCTGGGTACTCTTGCAGGTGGGCAAGGTCTGCTAGCTCCTTCTTCGCTTCCTCTGCAGATTGTGCGTGCGGGTGTGTGCGAGCGATGATGTGTGATGGTGAGTGCACCGTCGTGGAGGGACCAGAGCTGGTCTGATGCGGTCTGATGTTGCAATACAACATGGTGTGATGCGATGTGACGTGCTTTGTATCATGCAAGAGCTGCAGCAGTGACGGCAATATGACGAAGATAGCGCCGCTCACCAAAGTCTTGTTTGATAAGGTGTATGACGGCGTGGATGTTGTACGCGTTGAGCCAGTTGTGGTTGAGGGAGAGCGTGTTGGTGAGGTTGTGCACCTGGTGATACCATCCACTGGGCACAAACACAACATCCCCACTGCCTTGCTCGAGGTCTACAAAGTCCACATCTAATGGTGACGACGAAATGTTGCGAGTATGCGTGTGTGTGCGTGTATGTGTGTGTGTATGTGTGTGTGTGTGTGAGTTTGGTGAGGCAGTGAGTAGGATGACGAAAGACGTCTGACACACTGTGTGTATGTGCGCCTTGGGGTGGGCGTCGGTGCTGTCACACGGCACATGTCCAATCAGGTGTTGCCAACAGCCATCAGGCAAGAAGCACACATACATACGCACATTACACACACACACACACACACATCACGTATACACCCACCCACACACACACACATCACGTATACACCCACCCACACACACACACACACACACACACACACGTGTCCAGGGCAAGCTAGCGGTACCAGAGTGGTCGAGGCTGCGTGCGTCAGGGGTTCCAGCTGTGTCCATCCAGGCAAGCAGCTTTGGCGTTTCAGAGGGAGGGTAGAAGCGCCAGAGCTTGCGGCCAGCCACGTTGAGGGACCAGCTGTATGAGCCAAGGACGTCGCAGTGCAAGGGCGTCCATGATCCTGCAGGCCCGAGATATGCAAAGCGGTAGTCGTCGTCGCTACTGCGGCGCCGCACGGCACAGTACGCGTTGAGCCAGTCGTAGAGGAGGTACGACGGCGGCTTGTAGAAGGTGGTGTGGCAAGGCAACAATGCTGATGGCGGCGACGATTGCGAAAGCTCGTTGTTGAGCTGAAAGTGCCAGTCTTTCAAGTATGGCCTCGGCGGCGATGGCGCCTTCCACGCCTCTGCCGCTGTCAAGTGCACGTGCTGTAATGGCCGCAGCACAGTGTTGCAGAATGACTTCACGCTGATCTCACGGTAGCCCATGAAATGCCGGGGCTGTTGCTGCGTGCTCGTTTCACTGCCGTGCGCAGCAGGTGCATCACCGCTGCTGTCACCGCTGCTGTTGAGGACGGGAGCCGTGCAGTTGCCGCTTGTGGCACACACGCCGTCCAGATCAACGAGCCCTTCCAGGGTTCGCCACGTTTGCAGTGCCGGCCACGTGTTCAACTCAGGCATCTCAATGCGCACGGGCCGGTTGCGCATCAAGTACCGGTGAACAAACCCATCAAAGTCCAGCGACGTCGACACCTCCGCGTCCATCCTCACGACGATGTGAGACGCGTGATGCGAGGCAGCAGGCGAGGTAACAGGCGAGAGGCAACAGGTGAGGGTTGGAGGATGCAGTGAGAGGGCGAGCGAGCAACGTCCGCTCGCGAGTGCTGTATGCGACACCAATAAATTGATTGAACGCCGCGGCGCAATTTCCGTTGTGGTTGCTTGCTCGTCAGGGAACAAGAACTTGGAATGGCGAAGCTGATGGGTGGTGGTGTTGGAGCGGCTACCGTCGTGTGGTGCTGCCTCCTTGTTGGGGCGTTGGTGCTGGGGCTCCGTGGCGTGGTGGTGCAGGCGGAGCGCATCAGCCCAGAGGATGTTGTCTACTTGGACGTAGAATCAGGAAGGGTGAGTACGCTTTGTGTGTGTGTGTGTGTGTGTGTGTGTGTGTGTGTGTGTGTGTGTGTGTGTGTGTGTGTGTGTGTGTGTGTGTGTGTGTGTGTGTGTGTGTGTGTGTGT